TTAAATTCATCTGGCGAATTAATGGGTATAAATATTAGCCAAAATTCTGAACACATTAAATATGTTCAAGAGGCGATTAGTGTAAATAGTAATTTAATGTAAATAGCATAGTTGTATTATAAACGTCTCTAAGCGTCATATATTGACTTAGAGATTTTCTTAGTTAATGAGGCAATTAACGAATTTTGTATATATCATTATAAAGTTAGTTAGTTAAAAATGGCATCAATAAAGTTGGTTATGAACAACATGGTAAGGGATAAATGGAAATGGGAACAATGCGTTTTTGACGCTGCTGAAAAATGTCATGGTGTTTCGCTGATTGACGTTATCTATCAAGGATCAAAACTGCACCAAAATCTCTGTGTTGTTCTGTTGCGGTTCCGAAGCAACTCAGTCGTTTTTCTTCAAAAATTAGTTGCTTATTAAAGTTATTGCCACAAATAGATAAAAAATAAAATGCTAAGATGTGACAGTCAATTAAAAAATGCAGAGTTTCTCTCATCAAAACAAGATACTCAATTATTTTGCCGAGACATAACCATGTAACCATGTTGATCGTAAAAGATTGTCACAAAGCAGGACAGCATATTTGTGGTGTAAATCATATCTTGGCGGAGTTGTCTACAAAATATTGGGTAGTATCTGCAAGAGAAAAGATGAAAAAATGGGAAGCGGAGTGTGCAGAATGTAAGCGAAGAAAAGTCAGCAACACAGATTATGGCACCATTACCAACAAAACGTTTACAGTTTAGTATTAAGGCCTTTGAAAGTTGTGCGGTTGATTATGGTAGTCCGTTCATTACCATTCAAGAAAAAGGGAAAAAGTGGGCAAAACATTATTCAGCCTTGCTTACTTGTTTGTCTTCACAAGCAGTTCACCTTGAAGTAGCGTTTACGTTGGACGACAATTCATTTCTAAATTCGTTTTTTAGGATGAGCATTCAAAGAGGAACGCCAAAGAAATAATACCGGACAATGGAGGCAACTTTGCATTAGCAGACAAAGAACTAAAAAGTTTCACTTATGGCGAAAAGAAAAGAATAAATGAGGCAACAAGCCATGTTGGTATTAAATGGCATTTTAGGCCTCCAGCAGCCCCTCATTTCGAAAGAGTTCATAAAATCATGATAAAAACCGCAAAATAAGCAGTTTATTCCCAGCTGGGAAATGCGGATATTACTGACGAAGAACTTATTACAGCGTTTACCGACGCAGAAGGACTTGTAAACTCATGACCATTGACTTTTCAATTGAGCGATTCTAAAGACTGCACACCCCTTGCACCAAATCATTTTTTATTATGACAATTAGGTGGTGTTTTCGCCGCTGATGCAGTGGATATTACTTCATTCAATTCAAAAAGAAGATGGCGACGAGTCCAAGAGTTAATAAAACATTTTTGGCATCGCTGAATGAAAGAATGGTTACCCATGTTTGGACCACGAAAATAATTGAATATCGTAATTGGAAACTAATCGATAAGCAATCTTGTATTGGTGATATCTGAAAGTACTTCATGAGACAATTGGCTACTTGGTCGTGTAACTGAGGTTTTCCCTGGAAACGATGGGTTAGTACGTGTCGCAAATGTTCAAGTTAGGAAGGTTATCTTCAAAGAGATTTAATAAATAGGAGACGCCGTAGTATATACTTTATATGAAACGCGATGAAGCCAGTTTTGAAAGTCAGCTACCATCTCGGTTAACCCAAAATATTATTATGTTTTGCGCGGAACTTTGTATTTTTAAAAGAAAACATTGCTGAAAACTAGCGAAGTTATTTAATCATTTATATATAGATATAAATGATTAAATAACTTGCCAGTTATTTCCGAGGTTGTAATAAACTACAATGAATTGTTTGCTGACTGATTATCGTTTACAGTTTATTCCAAAATATTGGAATACTGAAGTAGACATTCAGATAGCAAACACACTTTTAGAAGATGCCATATTTTATACAGTGTGAACATCTTATGGATTAAAAAAGATTGTTTGTGAGTTTTTATTAAAGTTTAACAAAAATAAATGTAAACCTAAATAAAAACAAATATAATAAACATACATATTTATCTTTTAATCTCTTAATTGTTATGTATATATATACACATGTATATATATATATATATATATATATATATATATATATATATATATATATATATATATATATATATATATATATATATATATATACATAATTTATACTGAGTGTAGGCTATAAATTTGATAAAAATATATTATTTGTAATGACTTGTTTTGCCTAAGGATGCAACAACAAGCAAGAAATTTTAAATAGCAATAATATATATCATTAAAATATATTCTATAAAATATTGACTATAGAATAACGAAATCACCAGAGTAATAGCATATATGGTATTACTATGGTGAGTTTTTTAATAGTCAATATTTTTACAGATTTCCGTCAAATTTCAAATATCATGATTTGAAAAAAGTTGAGAATTGCTTTATGTAGAGAAAACTTTACTGGTCCTTATAAATACGCAGTTGTGTTCAAGAAGAAGAAGAAGTAGTAAATCAGCTTTAAGAACAGATTCTGATATTGATAGAACTAGGTCCTCATGTATGAGAGTTCAGTATGGTGCCATACCAGGCATTTTTGAAGCACAATAGTAATAGCATATTTAGTTTCTTTCTAGTTTTATTACTAACTTTTGACATATTTGTCTTACTCTACTCTACCAAGATCGTATAGAGCTGTTACTTTATACTGAGTCGACAGTTGCACAAAAAGATAATTATTATATATTAAATATTATTAAAAGGTAATTTTTACTGGTCAAAAAGATAACAGATGAAATTAATTTCAGCTCAACTATGTGCATCTCCATATAACTATTTTGATATTGGTTTAATATTATAGTTTAGTTTCGTTTAACTATATCAAATGATATATATATATATATATATATATATATATATATATATATATATATATATATATATATATATATATATATATATATATATATATATATATATATATATATATATATATATATATATGTATATATATATATATATATATATATATATATATATATATATATATATATATATATATATATATATATATATATATATATATGTATATATATATATATATATATATATATATATATATATATATATATATATATATATATATATATATATACATAAAGCAAATAATTCTTTATAAGATAGTATAAGCTGCCAAATTTAAACTAACGAATAATTCAATCATTTGGCGCAATCTTTTGACTAGAATTTAATACACTTTTCAGTAAAATCTTAAACTCCGTGAAATGTTTTAGGTTAACCAAGATGGCGGCCGTTTTAAAAACTGACTTCAAAAAAGTCACGTGACATCGTCTCCTGTTTATTAAACCTCCTTGGTTATCTTGAAACGTCCGATAACCAAGTTATGCTCTCTCGAGCCGAATGAACCAAAAGATATTGACCAATTGATCAAAATGGAGAAGTATGTTCAAGAGGCGATTAGTGTAAATAGTAATTTAATGTAAATAATATAGTTGTATTATAAACGTCTCTAAGTGTCATATATTGACCTTAGATATTTCTTAACTAATGAGACAATTAGCAAATTTTGTATATATATCATTATAAAGTTAGAAAAATACCTATAATATTTCTCTTGGGTAAATATTATATTGTATAAATAATTGTGTATAAGTTTATACTAGGTAGCGTTTTTAGTTAGTTATTAAAGTTCTAATCGAAATACATAAAGCTGAAATCAGTCACGTATTATTATTGAGTTTAATACGCTCTACACGCTTTCACACAAACAATGTATACTGCAGTTAAAACAGCTAGGAAGACTTTTAAATTTATGAGAAGTACTAAAAAAGATGTTACAAGTATTTAAGGTTGACACAAAATAGTATTTAATACAATAATTGCTCCTTATTTTGAATATTAGACTTTATTTATCCGTAGATGCAAATGAAAATGATATTCAAATACTACAGAAGTTTGAAAACAAAACTATGCTAGATAAATCTTGAAATATAACTGGTTCACACATACTAAAAATATGTTGACTAGATTAAATTAGCTATCTGTTAAAGAAAGTTTTTAAATGAAAGTAGTTAAACTTATACACAATTCTATTTAACTGCAAAAAATGAATATCTTCTAAAGATTTTATATAAAAACAACTTGTTTGTCTTATAAATGTTTTATAAGAAATGAAAATAGTAATCACTTTAAAAAAAAAGAGCAAGAAAATTGGACAGAATCCTATACTTGGCTATGGAATAAAATTGTACAATAAGTTGTGATAAGACATTAAGTGAAATAAAAAGTGAAGTGAGATAAGAGACATTAAATATTAAAAAAAATAATTTATGAATGAAAAGTTAATTCACATTTGAAAAATAATTTTTTTTAATTGGTTGTAAATAAGATTGTTTAAATTTAGATCAATCAATCAAACAAATTTATTTTAATAGATATAAAGTTTAAAAGTTTTATAAAAAGTATGATGTTAATATTGGTAAATATACCATGTAAAACATTTTTTAAAGTAAGACGAGAATTTCAAAATAATTAGTTTTTAATTTTTAATTAAACATTTTTTCTTTTTTGTAGTTAAATGTCACATGTTATATTAGATCTATCTTCTCTACATCGACTAATATAGCATAAAAAAAGAGCTCGGTAAAATTTAAATAATAATATCAAAACTAAAAGCGTTATATTTTTACTTTAGCTTTAGAAGTTAAAACAAATCCTTAAGCTAAAATTCACCTAGATACTAACATTCAGCAAACAGAAACAAGACTGTAAGCAAAATTGTAACATAATGCAACAGCAGAACAGTATATTTTGTTTAGTAAAACACATTCATCAATATCTATATATATATATATATATATATATATATATATATATATATATATATATATATATATATATATATATTTGAATATATATGAAACAAAAAGTTTTTATTAGGATTTTAATTACCAAAACATGGATCAGCGAGGGATTCCATTTTATCATTACTTGTGCTGTAGCCATTTTTACATACGCAGTTGTATCCACCAACCAAATTGTTACAGGTTGCATTAATTGAACAGTTGTTTTTGCTGGACCCAGCGCATTCATTAATATCTAAATATCATTAGACATGCAATAATCATTATTAAAAAAAGATTCAAAACACCTTATATTGGAATCACAGACTAATAACAAAGAAGAAAAAGAAGAAGAAGAAAAAGAAGAAGAAAAAGAAGAAAACAAGGTAAAGAAGATAATTGAAAAGAAAATGTAAAAAAAGAAAGAGAAGGTAAAAAGAAAATAAGATATAAAAAAGAATAAAATGATGATAAGAAAGATGAAAATGAAAAACGACAATACAAACGAAGAGAAGGAGATGAAGAAGAAGAAAAAAATAAGAAAAATTAAAAAAATAAGAAAAATAAAAAAAAGAAGCAGAAAAAAATGAAGAAAAAGAAGATAAAGAAGAAGAAGGAAATAAAGAAAAAAAAAAGAAGAAAAAAGAAAGGGAAAAGAAAAATAAAAATAAAAGTTATAAGCCTAATGTAGCAAACCTGTGAAATACAGCAACAGCAAAGCAGTTACTTTCGAAGGTAAAACATTTTTGTCAATGTCAATCAACCAAAGAAAAAAAAGCCATAAAATATCAATTTGGTATTAATGATAAAGTTCAAAAAAAGTATTAAAGTAATAAAAAAAAAAAGTACATTTTGAACTTAAAAAATTAAAAACGTTTAAAGAAAAAGTTTGATTTTTAATATTTATATATTTATTACCAAAACATGGGGTAGTGAGTGATTCTATTAGACCATCACTTGTTTTGAAACCACTTTTACATATATAGTTGTATCCACCAACTAAATTGTTACAGGTTGCATTGATTGAACAGTTGTTTTTGCTGGACACAGCACATTCATTGACATCTACAACATATATATATATATATATATATATATATATATATATATATATATATATATATATATATATATATATATATATATATATATATATATATATATATATATATATATATATATATATATATATATATATATATATATATATATATATATATATATATATATATATATGTATATATAATTATATATATATATATATATATATATATATATATATATATATATATATATATATATATATAATTATATATACATATATATATATATATATATATATATAATTATTATATATATATATATATATATATATATATATATATATATATATATATATATATATATATATATATATATATATATATGTATATATAATTATATATATATATATATATATATATATATATATATATATATATATATATATATATATATATATATATATATATGTATATATATATATATATATATATATATATATATATATATATATATATATATATATATATATATATATATATATATATATATATATATATACTTATTTAACATAAGACATAAAATAAGTATAGTTAAAAAAAACCAAGATATTAAAATATTTATTTTGAAATTAAAAACTAATAACAAAAATACATAATTTTTAACTTAAAAAAAGAAATTTATTCAAAATAAAAAGTTTTTATTAAATTTTTTTTAGCAAAACATGGATTACCAAGGGATTCCATTTCACTTGTGTTGAAACCATTTTTACATACGCAGTTGTATCCACCAACCAAATTATTACATGTTGCATTAATTGAACAATTGTTTTTGCTGGATACAGCACATTCATTAATATCTATATATCATATTTACATTTTACATTATTAGACATGCAATCAATCTACATTATTTATAAAAATTTGTTTTCGCATCAAAGACTTAAAACAAAGAAGAAAATGAAAAAGAAGTAGAAAAATAAGAGAAGAAAATGAAGATAAAAAAAAGAAAAAAAGAACAATAAGAAGGAGATAAACAATAAAAAAGAAGAAAAAGAAGATAAATAAAAAGAAAATGTAGAAGAAGAAAAAAATAAAAAGGAAGAAGATAAAAATAAGAATTTAAGATAAAAAAAGGATAAAATGAAAAGGGACAAAAAAGAAGAAGGAAACGAATAAGAAAGAGAAAAAGAAAATAAGAAAAAAAGTAAAAAGAAGTAAAAGAAAAAATGAAAAAGAATTAAAAGAAAAAGTAGAAGAAAATGAAAAGGAAAAAAGAGAAGGAAAACAAAGGTGAATGAGAGGAAAAAGAAGAAAAAGAACAAGAAGACAAAGATAAAGAGAAATAATACTTATAAACTTAATGTAGCAAAATTGTAACATACAGCAACAGTAAAGAAGTCGTTTTTGTTGCTAAAATATTTTTATCAATGTCAATCAACCAAATAAAAAACATATACATAATCACTTTGGTATTAAAAATAAAATTCAAAAAAACGTGCTCTAAAGAAAAAAAGTACATTTATAACACATACTAAAATTTTTTTATTTAATATTCATTACCAAAACATGGAGCAGTGAGGGATTCTATTACACCATTCCTTGTTTCAAAACCATTTTTACATATGCAGTTGTATCCACCAACTAAATTGTTACAGCCTGCAATAATTGAACAATTGTTTTTGTTGGACACAGCACATTCATTAACATCTATGCGTTATTAAACATAAAATGATTAAAAAGTTTTTTACATTGCAGTTTAACACTATAAAAAAAAGATATAATTTCAAAAATAGTTTATAAAAATGCAAAATCTTTATGCAAATGGATTTAAATGACTAAAAAAACTTATACTATGAAAAACTTTCAGTATAATGTATATCTATTGTAAAAGTATATTTTAATAAATTTTTGATTTAAATTTAGAATATTAACTGTACAACTGCTTGTATATAATAAAGCACATTCATTAAAGTCTAAAATAAAATATTTACTGTTATGATACTTATTATATATATTACGAGTGTTATTTTATTTGTATAATATATGGCTATTTTATAATTTTTATATGTTTATTGTTTTACTTCTTTTATACTTTATTTCTGATAGGAGTTTCACTGATTTTTGCCTTTAAGTTTTTGTTCTCATCGATTTTCTTGTAGCTTTTTTATTTAAGTTTGAACCATTGTTGATTTTGTTAAAATTAAATTTTTCAATGTGGATTTTTTAAAGTGGATTAGAAATTTCTTTGTGGCAATCAAAAATTGAAAACAATAATAACAATACAAAAAAATCTTTTTTTTTTAACATCATAACTTTAAAAATAACTTTTACATTTGCAGTTGTATCCACCAATAAAATTATTGCAGCTAGCATTTACTGCACAGTTCCTTGTAAATTATGACAAATTTCTTTAAGTCCAAAAATTAAATATTCTGTATGATTATTACTTTAACTTTTTTATATATTACATGAGTATTATTATATTTATATTAGGATGATATGATACTTTTATTGTATATAATTATTTTTAAGTTTATCCTTGTTGTGGGGGATTTAGCAGCATTACTTTCATTTTTCGTTTTTGCCTATAAAATCTTTTTATTATAGATTTTTACGCGGTTTGTCTTTATTTCAGTTAACACTAATGTTGATTTAGTTAAAATGAACTATTTTAAGGTGGATATTGTTAAAAAGGGATTTTACTTGTAAATTAAAATTTTTATTATTGCAATTTAAAAATTAGGGAACACTTGGGCTAGTTGCACCAGGGGTAAGTTGCAATTATGCGTTTTAAAGAATCATTTTTATATATAAATTCATTCATTTTTTTGCAGTATATAACTATATTTATAACACATCAGCTATAAAAAACTTATAGTAATTAAAAAATTCAACATTTATTGATAAATGTGTTTATTCAAAATGAAATTCTAAATTTTGTTAACAATGTTTTTTTGGGTTTTACTGTAAACTTAGAGGTACATGATCATAATAAAATAACGTTATGTTATAACGTTATTTTATTGTGATCAGGTATAAATGTATAAATGTTATTCAAAAAAATATTTTTGAAATACAAAAAGCTAAAATAAAATTCATTTATTTAATGTAGTAATTATATACATTGATTAGAGTGATCACGATGCCTGTGGGGTAATTTGCAGCAAATTGCTTGGCTTAAATTGAACCATAAAATATCTGCGGTTTTATTGATTTTAAGCACTTTTCTAGTTGTTTCTAAAGTAATCTAAAGTAAGTAAGTTTTTTTAACGAAAAAAATTGTTCTAGAAAGCAAATAACCTGCTATTAGTTCTACATCAATAAAATAAATAAAAACAAAGAGATTTTTTTTTGTTATTTAGGTGCTCCCTGAAGTCCTTACGAACTTATCTCGGAGCATCGCGGGAGAGCATTTAACAAGAAGTTCACGCCTTCTTCCCTACCAATGTCACTTATTGGGCTAGAGCCGGCGTCGAACCTCGGACCTCTGGGTTCTGAGCCAAAACTCTAATCACTGCGCCACGGCTGCTCTAATTATTGAATTAATTGTTATTCTTCAGTTTCTTTAATACTTGTTTTGTTTTTAAATCAGAGGTTATTGCTAGAAAATTCTTTTTTTGTTGTTAGCTAAGTTTGATTCCTGTTTGTTTTCAGGAAATTTTGTTTAACATTTGATTTATTTTTTTCAAATAATTTTTTTTTTTTTTAATAAAATAATAAATTATTTTAAATTATAATACTTCTTATCTAATTTCTTCAGTATTTGAACTCTTTCAATACAATTAACAGTTTACTAAACAAGTCAGGTATATGTGAAGTCTCGTATAATAAAAGTTTTTCAGCCTAATAAAAGTACTACTTTACTTTAATGTAAATATAAAATTTTGTTGTAAAACAGAAGTTGCAGATTAACTTGCAATTTTTTTTTTTTTTGGACTCTGCAAGGCCTATGCTTTTCAAGTATGGTGTTGCAATTTTTTTTTATTTTTTTTTTATTTTTTTTATTTAGGTGCTCCAAGAAGTCCTTACGGTCTTATCACAGAGCACTTTTTGTTGCAACTAGCCCAGGTCTTCTCTAATACCAACGCAAAAAAAATGTTTTTTTAAACATAAGCAAAATCTTAATGTTTACCTTCACATTGGTTTGATTTGTCATTAAACTTGTAATCAGTTTTAAAGACTGAAAAGAAAAAATTAATTTAAAATTTTTTTAACACATTTCAAAAATTACATTTTTATAAATAATGTTATATTTCAGTATATTTAGTGTAAGTAGTCAGGCTAAAATTATGTTAATCAGTTTAGAAATATATCATCGTGTTGGGCTGATAACCATTGTTCTAGACATGGTATGTGTATAAATATATCATATCGTTTGAATATTATACTTGAATATTATTGGAGAGACCACTTTAATATTTTAAAGATGAAAAAAGTATCAAAATTAAACAGTTCTTACAAAAGTTATGACTATTTTTCGATATATGGATTTGTTGAGGAAACTGTGGCCATATTAAAGTATTTCTGAATTTAAAATTGTCATAACTTTATCAACATTATCAATTTTTATCAAAATGAAAATAAATTGGTAAAAGTAGATTTGGCTTATATTGGGCTACAAGTTTATGTTAAACTCTAACCACCGGGCGTATCCGGTGAACAGAAGGAGCACCAAAACACCACCTTACCCGTACGAAACTGAACACTTTTTTCCAAAAAAAGTGATTTTTTAGAGAGAGTATAAAATCTATAATAAAAAAAAGGTGATTATAATTTATACCAGATCATTAACCTATATGAGAGGTGTATGTTAGAATTAGAAATGGGCATGGTGTTGATAGCCTAGCACACCCTAGGCTATCAAAAAATACTCGTTTTATATATATTTTCATCATTACTAATCTACGAAAAATCAGTTTACAGTATAAAAACTATGCTGATCAAGTTTTTACAATTATAAAATGTATTTACATTAATTTATAGGAGAGGAGTATTGCACCCTCTCCCCTCTCCTCCCTATATTACTTTGAAAAATATATAAAAAAGAAAATACTGTTTTTAAACAGTACTTTCATTAATTGGAGTTGCATAAGATATTTTACGACAACCACTGTAATTATAAAAAATAGCAACAGAAAAATATTAATTGACCATTTGACTACTTTTTCTCTTCAACTTAGGTCTAGACTGTCTAGGCAACTCACAGATTCTTTTGATGATCTTAATTTGCAAGAGATAGAGCAAAATGTTGCATTTATGGGGACATACTTAGGCATTACTAAATATATCTAACAACTCCTCATTATCTATATTGCTTTCTCCTCTAAAAAATATTTCTGTAATAGTAAATAAAAAATATCTGTTTAATTGTCTATTTGAAATATTTGCCACTGCAATAAGACAAGCAGGAGTTATCTTAAAAATCTCTTTATGAATGGAGCATAAATTTGTTTCTGATTTTAAATCTAAATGATTGGCTGAAGCAATTTTACAAATAATAAACAGTTTGTCTTCAAAACAACATGATAAAAAGGTTGTCACTACAATTATTTTTATCAAGTGCAAGTTTCCCTAATACTGCAAACACATACTTTTTTTTTTAATTAAAAACTTTCCATCCTTAAACATAGGGGTCTTCCATAAAGTACTTACGCAGATATGGGAGTGGGAGTTGCCCAAAAATGTACGAATTCGTTCATTTAAGGCAACGAGTTTCAGTTTACGCGGTTTGACTACCTCTTGTTCTGTACCTTTTAATAAAACATTTTTTTAAACAAAAGCATTGATTCTCACAAATTTAAAAAACTAGTATTATGTTATGTAACGTAGATATGTAAATTTAACTAAAATTGTTTTTGTTTTTAATGTTTTGAAAACATTTTGTTTTTAATAAACTTTTACCCATTGCTTGTCACATACAAAAGACTCTAGTTTCAAAAAGAAAACTTTCCCTTGAAATATTACAGGTGGTTGTATCCCAAAAACTACTTGAAAATAGGAGGGTCTTGAATTATTTTTCTAGGGACAAATAATAATCTTTTATTATTATAATTGAAAGCCTAAACTGGGTTCTTCCTGATATGTATGGTTTATTAAGTCTCGCATATGTTCTTTAACTAGAATGTTCCAGTTGATTACACTTTTTTTTCATGCACCCCAAAAACCACATCGAATAAATTGGCTATAATTTCCTAATTGTTTAAAGTTATAACCTGATTTTTTTGAAGAAGGTTGTTATAATAAATTGTTGTTAAGATGATTGCATTACTGCTAACAAATATTTTGAGGGACACTTCAAATGTACAACAAAAACCTCATCGTATGTACCCAGAAAAACCCAGAAAGGATTTTAAATGATCGAACAAAATATTCATAGGGTTTACTCTAAGACAGTTTCTATTTATCACCCATCAAAAAGTTTGATTTCAAGATAGCCGATTATATAACTGTAATGAAACACCCTAATTTATCAACTATGGGGTTTATGGTACCAGTTCTGGATTATTTTATGCTGGCAAAAGGGATGCAAGTCAAAGAATGTAATTCAAGTACCATTTTTTTCTTTTCTAATAAGAATTTAAAAAGTTTCAAAGAATATTTTATTTTTACGAGAATTTAATTCATTTAGTTTCTAATAATTGTAACTAAAAAACTTGAACTAAAAAAACCGAAACTAAAATAAACTAAAATTAGTCGGTTGACTTTTTAGTCTAAATAAAATTAGTCGACTAACTATAATTAGACTTAAAAGTTAGCCGACTAATTTGAGTTAAACTAAAAAGTTGGTCGAATCATTTTAGTTAGGCTAAAACCTGTTATATATTAACTATAATATCAATGAAGAGCAATTCCACGATCGTCTCACAAAAAATGAAAAAATTAAACCAATACATTATTCTATATATCAGTAGAAAACTCTACTTCTCTTCTTTCACAAAATATATAGCTTGTTATAGCATGCCGCTATTTTAAAAAATAATATGGGATGAAAAAAAAAAAAAGATATAAAGGTGTTTTTGCAATAATTTAATTCATTTTTAATTGCCAAAGTTTAGTTAAAAGTTTCACCTATAAAAAATTCAAAAACTGTCTTGCTCATTGCAATGAGGTTTTTACCTGCACTAACCTTTGTTACTTTTAATAAAACATAATTATTGCTATACAAATTCAGAAAACCAATAGTGGTAATAATATTTGATTAAAAAAAATTTAATAAAATATTATTACCACTATTGCCACGCTGTGACATATCATGCCGTGACAATTAGGGTACAAATAGTTTTATTTCTAGGACAACCAGTAAAACTAAGGATTTCAAAATTCCAGCGCAATGAGAACTTTATCAAGTACATCTAAAAATATACTAACATGCTTGAAAAAAAAATTAGCTCAAGTTATTTTTAGAATCTTTTTATGTCACGCCGTGAAAATTTTTTAACAAAATTGAAAACAAAGTTTAAAACTGCTAAACTGAAACCAAAATTAAATTTTTATCAAGTTCAATGACCCAGATTATTATGCGGCCTACTTTCTGTGACGTTTTTTACAAAGACTAAAAAATATAGGTATGTTTTGCATAGGCAACATTTCGAGGACGAATGCTCAGCTATCCTAGAGGCTCTCTTTTGGGATGCATAGAACCTCTCTAAAGGATAGTTGTAACTTTATTGACCCTTAGATGTAATACGCGCACCTCAATAACCACTGTGTTGCTTTTTTTAAAATCTTTCAAGGGTTTAACATGCCTCTTACTAATGCTGAATGTCAAAAAAAATATCGTGAAAGGCAGTTAGAAAAATTTGGCGAAAAAGTAGTTAAAGAAGAAGAACCAAAACGGAGAAAAAAAAGAAGACTCGCTAAATTGGAGGCTCCTGAGAAAAAGAAAAGCAAAGAAAGAGAAAGAGCAGACAAAAAATAACAGAATTGAAATCTGTAGCAGCTACATTACCCTCTTACAATTCTGCGAGCACTCTTGGAAAAGCTGTTAAGAGAGATGATATATCCCGTCAAGCACCTGATAAAGAAGACACCATTGTGGTGAGATTAAAGAACAAGAAAAAAACTCTGCAAAAACGTCATTTGTATATGAATGTTAATGAAGCTTATGCTGTTTTTAAAGGTGAAGGTAAAATCCTGAAGAGTCAGTTGGAAAGTCAAAGTTTTTTAGTTTACACCCACCACCTGTGCTTTTGTCCAATTCAATGTCAAAAAACGTTTGCTGTTGTCAACAACATCAAAATATAATCCTTATCCTTGAAGCCCTGCAGAAGTTTGATTTAAGTTTTGTATTACATTTACATGAATTTCCTCTTAGCATTGTATGCATAGACGTAGAGTATGGGATGCAACGGAGGCAGGCTGCCCCCTTTGAGTCAACCTTGCCTCTCTTGAAAATTTGTTTGCCCCCGTTTATTTTTAAACAAAGGAAGAAATCAAGTTTTCCCGTTAATGGAAAACTTGACGAACAAGGGAATCTGTTTTTCAAAAAAAAAGTACGTTTTTTGATAAAATAAAACTTCAGATAATCTTTTGATCTTAATTTGAGATTTTCACATTTTATACTAGAGCTTTAAAGTAACTTTTATGATAAAGAAAAAAATCATGTCACTCGTTCACTCTGTCACTCGTTCAGAAAATATCATGTCACTCGTTCAAAAGTTTTTTGCTTTTACAATATGCTCACCAAAGAGGCTCGCTTCGTTTTCAAGCCCAAAAGACCAAAATGAAAGCAAAGATTGACATAAGAATGGAACATCATTTACACCTTTTTGCCCAGTCATATAGATAATGCGCAAGCCATCTCTAGTATATATTACCAGTAATTACAGATCACTTCTGGTTTGACTGAAAGACTTTACCACCTGACTTTACCAAATGCCGAGTGGAAGCAATGACCTTTTTATCTTCTTTTCATGTTTTGACATTTTTTTAAAATTAAAACTTTTTTGAACCATTTTTACTATCCTAGAAGATTCAAGCATTCAACTTCAAGAAAACCAACTTAACTTCAGTAAGGCTGAGGCCATAATTCAGACCCTGAAAATAATTTTGAGATCTTTGCCTACAGAGTCACGTTTCAAAACACTTTTGCGGTAACTGAAACTTCTAAAATATTAGATTCAGACAAAACAGCTCTGCCCAGGAAGAGGAATTGTACATTTAAGATTTAAATTTGGCATCAGGGATACTTATTATTTACATTTTTCAAAAAAATGAAACCTTTATCTTATATTCTCCTTGAAAATTTTAGTACTCTATACCCATGATTGTATGTGATAGTAAAATAGACATTTGTTATAATAATATGTGTATAACATGCAAAAGATGTTTTAAAATTTCATAATCTATATTTTTAGAATGAAATTGAAAAGAATAAATGCATTACATGATACCGATGGGCAAAAGTTGCAGAAGGTAATGGAAAAGAATATATTAAAAATATTGAAAAAAGGTAAGAGTTATTGATCTTGACAGCACGTTGTCAAAATCTTTACCTTCATTTCTTTGGTATTATTTTGTTAAAAAGAAACAATCAAAGACATATTGTGATCATAAGATACAACTTCAAATTATTATTTTCAGATGACTTAAGCCATTCAAAAGAATCTATTTTTGTATTTGTTCATAGTTTATTTTCTAACCATATTGGATGAAGTGTTAGAATACTACATGTTTGGACAGGCGGGCAGAGTAATCAATTTAAAAATCATTTTGTTGCATCAGCAATATCCTGTTTGGAAGAACAGCATGATCTAAAGTTATTCTGAAACTTTTTTGCTGCTTCACTTAGGAATGGACCGGTAGATTCTATTCTGGTGGGGCCGTTAAAAGAATAGCAACGCAAATAATAATCCAGAGAAAATTTATAACTGATGCAATAACTTTTATTGAAGCTTTTAAAAATGAGAATAATTTCAATATGTATTTTTTTTCTATGGAAGATATTATAAATACAATAAAAATTTTAAAATTGATGAGTTATTTACAAAAGCACCAGCAAAACCAGGAATATTAGCAGCGCACTTAATTCAAAACAATAATGTGAAAATAGAAATGCGACCCTATTCAAGTGCCAAGCATTTAGTGAAACAACTTACGTCTTTAAATGAAGTCACCGAAAAACTTTAAAACGTTGCATATGTGAGAGAAATATAATATGGACGCGATTTGACACTGATATAGTATGGATGTGTTCTGAAAATAACTATGTGAGAACTATTTTTATGAAGATGTAATTGTATATTTGTCTAATACCTCTCTACTATGTTTTAAATTTATTAAAAAACAGCCCATTTACTTGGTTTATAACTACCCAAATGTGTCTGGTCACGCTGTGACGTTACGCTGTGACATTTTCCACAATTAATTAAAGATGCGCCTGATGTAACTAAAAAATGTTATTTAGCTATAGAACTTGTAAGAGTAATGTCTAAACTTTTTGTTTAATGCCATGTTAATAATTCAATTCATCTACATTAGCTGAATTGCGGTGTTGATCAAAAAACTAAAAAACAATAAATTGCAGTGTTGATCAAAAAACTAAAAAACAATTTAATATTTTCTTGCATGAATGAGAGGCTATTATATTTACCTAAATTTTTTTCTCGTTTTTTGAAGCACCTATTATGAACTGACTGAATAGCAAAAAAATCTCTTTTTATATTTTAATATTAAAATATTGAAAGCTTAAGACAAAATAAAAGACAGTTGTCACGCTGTGACGGTCGTGGAATTTTTATTATTATCATATTGTTTAAAATAATAATTTATAATAATAACAATGATAATTACTAAATATTGATATTATATTATATCATTTATATTAATGCTAATTGTTATAATTAAGTATTAGAAAATAATAATGGGAAATTTTTATTAAGCTACGATAACTATCGTAGCCCAATAAAAAGTTTCCATAAAATTCAAAAACTATTTATTAATATTTCTACACTTTCCTGAACCTTTGACCTTTATTTGAAATCTATTATTATTATTATTATTATTATTATTGCTATTATTATTATTATTATTATTATTATTATTATTGCTATTATTATTACTATTATTATTGTTATTATTGTCATTATTGCTATTATTACATTTTTAAGTTAGTAAAGTCAACGTTGATGCCAGTTTGGTTTTATAACGCAAAGTACTGCTAATTAGTTTACATTAAGTCATAACAAACATTTACTAAGTTGTCTGTTTACTAAACTTTATAGTAGTAGTAGTAGTAGTAGTAGTAGTAGTAGTAGTAGTAGTAGTAGTAGTAGTAGTAGTAGTTGTTGTAGTAGTAGTAGTAGTAGTAGTAGTAGTAGTAGTAGTAGTAGTAGTTGTTGTAGTAGTAGTAGTAGTAGTAGTAGTAGTAGTAGTAGTAGTAGTAGTTGTAGTAGTAGTAGTAGTAGTAGTAGTAGTAGTAGTAGTAGTAGTAGTAGTTGTTGTTGTTGTAGTAGTAGTAGTAATAGTGTCCTTTCAGGGGTGTTTGAGATGAAACTCTTAACAGCCATTGTAACAGAGGTAATAGCGAGAAAGAGTCGCAGCACTTTTTTTAAAAAAGAAAATGTGAACGAAAGTGTATGCAAATATCTAAATTATGTAAAATTCAAACTATGTAATACATATAGCAAGTTTTACAGCTTAACTTTTACTTGAAAATTGGATTGCGACAATTTCTCATTAATTTTGATTTATAGCATTCATTTGCTGTTTTATAAAGTCTTATGAAAAGAGAGCACCAGAAGGTGCAGCTATTGTAGGCAAAAAAAAAAAATTAGCCCGCAGCTAGTAAAACCTTAAAAGTTTATTTAATAAAAATCAAAAATCTTTTTTGCTTTATTTAAGTATTTCCTATATATATATAAGGTCAGATTAAAATAATTTAAAATGTTTCAAAAATTTAAAACCATTGCAAATCAATGCCAATGGCAGCGCACTGAGCCGCTGAGCTATGAAAGTTATGCGTTTCAGAAAAAAAGCAAGCCATTTTATAAATCTCTTATAAACTCGACGTTAAACTATACGGAAAAGACGCATTTGTTAAGTTTTTTTTTACTCTAAATACAATTGTTTTGATAAATTATTATTTTTCTCTGTTGACCAAAGTGTATTGAATTAAGGAATAGGTATAGTAATTGATATGTGTGGATTTGATAAGTATAAAAATGGTCGGTTTTGTTAATACACGTATTTTACAGGTCTGGACAGCTAGGGTATATTTTTAAAGAAAAAGTTTAAAAAAAGCCAATGTGGAATAGATTTAAAAAGACTTGTCTGGTCAGCTAGTACACATGATTGTCTAAAGAAAAATGGACTTAAACTTCTTAATTAACTATATTAGTAGCTCAACACTAATTGTTTGATGATTTTTTTATTTTATTTTTTGTTCAAGTCGCAAAAAGTATTATAGTATTACAATCAATACTGTATTCTTATTTTACAATGAAAATGGTAAAGTTCCCTCTCCACATTAAGTTGTTATACAAGTCTATCAAAGAGGTAGGCCTATGAGATGAATACATTGACTCTCTCTAAGTAGTGATATGGTATGATATTCCATTATATTTCTTAAAGGTCAACTGATGTATAGTGCAGAACTAAAGCAACAAAACAGTAATAGAAGGGTATCAATTACATAGCAAGGTAGCTTTTATCTATTTCAGCGAAATGTAAATCTTAATGCTGCATGCAAGAAGATTATTTCTGAAATTCGTAGTTGATAAAAATCTGAAAAAAGAATGATATGATGATCTGAATTGGTGTTATAAGAGTCAGATTTACAGTACTATGTTAAAAACATTGCAGGGCGTGAAGACGTGATTCCAGGAAGAAAAACTTTACTATCATTGAATTACCCAGGCTTACCAAGTAATATGCCTGATCTTTTGTAGGGCCACATTACTGAATGTGAGGCCTGATTGTGACAGCGAATCGTGAATAGAAAGAAGTTGTGGAAAATCTAGGTCAATTTGAAGTAGCAAATGGTAGACCTGATTTGGTTGTAACACTCTTTCATTTTAAACATCAAGTACTGATGGCTGATTTATGCAAAAAGCAAACTGATAATATGCACTGAGGTCACAATTGCACAGTCATGAAAAGCTATGTCAACGAAAGAAATGAAGTTATTCAACATGTGAATACCAAATATGTTTGCGCTCCAGAGGCCATTTGATGATTATAAGGATTTCCAATCGATGTAGAATCACACGCAGTTGTACGTTTAACTTTTCATAAACAAAATAGAGTTTTTTTTTACACGAAGAAGTAGAAGCTGCATCAATAGTAGTTTTCAGTATATTCCACATTGACTGCGTTTTCAACATGAGCAGAGAAAATCCTGAGACCTGACAATATCTTAATTTTGAAATATTGAAGCAATACGCAATCTCTAAAAAAGATAAATGATAGAGCAAGTGCTTGAGAAATATTGAGAAGGTTGTTCCATAAATGAATTGCGTCAGCCTAAACTAAAGAATAAGGTATTTTTTCTGGATGCTGTTAAATCATTTACAAGTTTGCTTAAAGCTTTGAAAATCATTTTTTAAAAAAAAGCTTTTGGGATAAGCATAAATAAGTTTAATAAAAAACTTTCTGCATTAAATGACTAATCCTTCATTGCAGGAAAAAAATTTATTGTAAAAAATAAACTTTTTTCAGGTTTAACAATAATTTTTTTTTTCTTAAATAGAAAAAAAAAAGTTTAACAAATGCTATTATTTAATCACGAGTAACTATAATTGACTGATTTTCAATTTCATTTGATTTAACATTGATATCATCT